TATATATATACATATCAGCATAACATAAAATCTTATTTTTTATAAAATTAAAAATAATTTCATATTAAAATAACTGTAGGGGACTTTATTTCAAGTATCTTCTTACAAACTCTTTTGTTTTTTAAGATAAAAAATATATAACTCAAATATTCTGTTATACTGCTTGCATAGCGCATAAATGGTTAGCAAATGTCGAGGTAATTAATCATACGTGTTTTTGAATACTGGTTGCAAAGGATTTCCTTCCTTTCTCCCAACTCGAGATTCTTTCGTGCGACGCGCAGAATATGTGCTGTCGAAAACTCGTGTAAAAGATGGAACGTCGTGCAGTGGTCTCCGGAGAGGGATGCAGAGAAACCTCGATATTTACACGTCAGGGGTTGCCACCCCCGTAAAGTACCCGCGGGGTACCGCGCGTGCCAGGAGTGTCTCTTTATTGGATAATAAATAACCTGTTTCATTTATAAGAAGGAGATAAAGTGTAGTAGACTATGCTCCCCGGATAGATCCTTCCTCGCCAATCCCCTTCCCATGCAGCATCATTTCTCCGAAGTTGAAATTTCTAAGTATATAAACTGCATCGCGTCTCTTTCCAACATTATTAATATTATTTAATAAATCTAGGATATCGAAGATTTTTTTCCGTTACTGAATCATTGTATGATCGAAAAAGAGACAAACATGTGAGATATAATCATTGTCGTAAATAGAATGTATATTGATAGTTTTATCTTAAATTTAACATAAGCTGCAAACTTAATTATTATTTGGTAAAAATAGCAAAAAGCAGAATCTGCGTTTAATTTTAACGTTATTGCAAAAATAATAGAAACCGGATGTAATATAAGCAATTAATAATAAATTAACAAATGTGTTTCAAGATGTTTCAATCTTTAAAATTGAAAATGTTACTTTATAATAGGAAGAAAAAGAAAAAGGAAGAAAAGAGGGAACAAGTTTTTTTTTTTAATGTTCAAAAATCAGAAGCGGAAGCAAAAGGAGAAATGGCGATCTTGTACATTGAGATCATAAACTAAATTTAAATTCAAATACCGTACTCAACGAACTCGTTGCATTACAATTTACTGTTAGTATTTACTGTAAAAGAAAGCCCGTCCGTGGCTAACCTAAGACAGCTTGGTGCTTGCAAGATTCCTCGTCGTAATTTTCAGTAAACCAGCTTTATGGCGGCAAAGTATCGTAAACTTAAGACAGCGACGTTACTGGACTTTTGAAGATTGAAAGAGAAAGAGATAAAGAAGTTAAATCAAAAGATGTGTATATGTATGTCAGACTCGACCGTCGATTTTGGTACATAAATAAAAATACAAATAAAAACATTTATTTTTATCGTTATCCTGTTAAATAAATTAAAGATATCTAAAAAAAATATAATTTTTACTCAAAATAAATTTTATTACCATGGCTTGTTAAAGACTATTTTATCAAACATATATCTGATTAGCTTATATTATATTTTATTTAAAATAATTTTAATGTTCTTTTAATAGGAAATGTGTCTTTATCTAACAATAAGTATGAGGTTCTGTCTCTGGTAATTATTTCTTTCCTTTTTATTTTCGTGAAAGAAATTTAAATAATTGATATGATTTATTAAGACAATGTTGATAAGTATTAATTCTGCACCGTTAGGACATTGCTTTTTGTAAATATCTCATTGTGAATATGAAACAATGACGATACTGCTTCATTGCACCTCGAAGAATCGATGGGCAAGCTATAGGCTCGCATTGCTCGTAGCACGTCGGAAATGTTGGTGGATAAATTGGCCGCGCGGCTTCCACTCTACCTTCCCTTTCTATAGCACCCTATACATCGTGTGTTCATTGTACGCAT